TGAGGTTGGGATAGAGGAGTTGGTAGGAGTGTGTTGACTGTTGGGAACAGTCGGCAATGGGAGAGGACAGCCATTTTTTCTAAGAACCCAACTTGATCTAGTTGTAGTGATTCTCTGCAGAGCTGGATTGAAAAGGTTTTGAAGTCTTTTTCAGGTTCAATAAAAATAACATGTCCTGAAACGATTAGTGATATCTTCCATCAGAGAGGATTAGGTAGCAGTGATAGATCTGCCTAAGTTTGCTGTTCTTTATCTTGTGAGGTGGGAACTCCTACCAGAAGCCTGTTGCAGTAGTCCAGGAGTGAATCAGGTAATGTAGTCTGGGAGTTTTACATGGCAGCAGCTCAAAGCAGAGATTGCCATGTCAGAGGAAGTGGTTGTTCTCAGAGAATTGTTATTAATAACCCAAATAATAATGTATATGAGAGGAATACCATGAGAGATCCAGTTCTCAGAGAGTAGATGGGACCAATTGCTGGTCCTCAGAATGTATCAGACATCAACCTTGTAGAGAATACAGTTAAACACTGGTTATCCCAGAGGGAGGACTTTACCAGACTTTATTCCTGTTTTGTGGAATCAGAATTGGTTTTATTCTACGGCCTCCCCAGTAGTTGGTAGTATGTCCTCTGCATTACGGACAAAAAATAAAATAAATCAATCCCAGCTGCTATATCTTGAGACCCTGTGATGGAAAGTAAAACTGGAAAGCAGTAATAAAAGTATTCTTTGTGAGTTCTAGAAAATGGACTTTTTTCTTTTGAGGAAGTTTACATTTGGCAGAGAGGCAATTCAACTTGGTTAGAACCGTAAGAGGTTTTCACTAGGACTCATAAAATTTGGTTCTTACTCTATTAGCTAGCTGTGTGACCTTGAGGAAGTCACACAGCTTCCTCTTTTGCAAAACTCAGAGATTGGACAAGATGGGCCATGTACTCTTACAGAATGGAAAAGTACATGCATAGCCGAGTTTCCTTCCACTGCTGTAAGTACACTAAAAATAAAGTAGCTTTTAAAGAATAGTGGACAGCCATCATTCTCCTCTCATCCTTTCTTTCTTCACAGACTCCTCTATTCACCTAGTAGGCTTTCTTTTCCTTTCCTGCTTTAAACCTTTATGCATTCCTGTGTGATAGTCATGACTCACCAGCATTTTCCTCTTGTGTATGTGTCACCGTCTGATGAAGTTCCTTCAGGAAAAGGAAATCATAAAGCTGAATGATTCATGAGAATTGCCCAGTGTGTCCTGGCTTCAGGCTCTCCGCAGCAGTCCTGGAGCAGGGCCTTCCCCTCGTGGCCAGCTGGGGAACAGCAGTGGTCCTGGGAGAAGGAGGCTCTGGAGGTCATTTCTTGAGCTGCCACAGAGACATGGCCAGAGATTATTTGAGGCTGTTCTTTATAATTTCTTTTCTGAAGCAAACTAAAACTTTTAGAATCCTTTTTTCCGGTACTTTCCCCCCCTATCAAATGTATAAGTGAGTGAGAGAGAAACGGTAAGAGTTGAAATGTAAAAAGAAAAGAAACACAGTGTAATTTGCCGGAAGAATTCATTGTTAAATCCAAGTTTGAGCAGGTTTGCTGCTCCAACTATTCAGAAAAGTGGGAGTTTCAGCTTGAGTTATTTATTGAAGGTGATGAGTAGAGATGAATACGATGGCTTTTCAATTTTTCATCTTCAAGGGCATTTTGAGGGTCACCTTTGCAGGAGCCATTGGGCTATTTTGGGGATTTGGAGCCAGTTGTTCTGAGCAGAACCCTTGGGTAAAGTGAGTGGATAGATTCCATGATGTGCTTCCTAGAACAGAGTCCTGACTGTGAAGACACACAGTGCAGCCAAGGCCTTGTACACGGAGAGTGAGTGCCATGCTGCTTCCAGGGGGAAGGGCCTCTCTGGCCCAGGATAATTAGAGGCATTTCAGAGGGGCAGTTTTCTCAGCTCGGAAGGTGGGTGATCCTGGTATAAGCTGAAAGGACACCCAAGGAAGGCCAGAAAGGAACAAAGCCTGGGATATAAGGATTTGTGTTCTAGACTCTGGGCGGTGGATGAGCCATAGGCAGGGCAGCCCGGCTTACCTGTGTGTGTAGATACTTCCCTCTATCATGCACCTTTTATGATTCTGGAACTCTCTGAGCTCTGCACATCGGTCTGCACATTGGGCTTTTGGTGCAGTTGTTTTATTATGGCTCAGAACCCGTAAAGGCTGTTCTCACTGGGATGTGAGACTAGGAAGCCAGGGAGGGGTCATGTTGTAGAGCCCATTGGTCAGGGCTCCTCTACTGTTGGCATGTGGAAAGTAGCACTTGATGATTGCTCACTGGACCAGTGAGGAATGGATGAACAGAAGAGCCCTGAGAAAGAGAATTCCTAAGCTGTGATAGGTCTGGAGAGGGACAAGACACACGCTTTCATTAATCTGCCTTCCCATTGTAGAAATAGCTTCAGTGGGTACAGAGAGGCCAGAGATTAATCATTTAGCGTTTCTTATGGGATAACAAATTTGAAAGATGCCTGCTTTCGGCGTGGGGTTGTACCCCATGAGTGCAGTGATATAAAAATAAAAACTAGTGTGGTCGTTGTTGAGGATAGGGTCCCCACTCTGCCATCGTGGCAGTTTGCAGGAAATGGTTCACTATATAAAAGAGAGGGTTTGTTTATTTGTTTGTTTGTTTTTTCTTTAAAGGTAGGCAGCACAGTTCTTCTAGTTCTCTGGGGTTGCATGGACCAAAGGAGTGTCAGGATCTGCTCATCCACAGGGGTTTTAAAAACAACTGAGATGACAGGAGCTGGCATTGTGGTTTGGGGAGGCTGTGGAGAACATGAGCCGGAATCTATGTTGAGGGTGCAGCTCAAAAATAGCAGCGGCATTGATTTGGAATCTGAAGTTTTAATTCTGTCGTCTCCTTTCTGAACTCTGCACATTGATCTGCACTCTGCAGATAAATGGCTTTTGGTGCAGTTGTTTGATTATGGCTCAGAACCCATGAAGGCCACTCTCATTGGCATGGGAGGCCTTCTGAAGAATGATTTTCTGATGAATTTCGCTACCCAGTGCCCCTCTTCCCCCAGGTTTTCTGGAATTGTCCCCTAAACATAGGATTGAGAAGTAAAAATAATTCAGTTGATCAATTGGTATTTCAAATCTCATTTCATATTTCACTGTCTAAAGAAAAACACATTTCTCTGAGTTTCAATATTTTCTCTGATATTTAGGTTTTTAAAGTTATACCTTTAATATAAGAAAACTGTATGACTGTTTTTTTCTTTTTGGGCTAATTATGTCTCATTTCTCTTTCACTTCTGTATTTCCAGATATCTTCATGATCCTTTCAGATAAGCACATTTTGACAAGGACTTCTGTGTTGATAGTCTGTAAACCTTGCATCCTCTGGCCTTGCCACCCTTCTCAGAAGAGAAGTTGACAACTGTTTCATTCTCCCTTGTTCTTTTTTGGACAATCCCTCAACTATATTTTGTAACTCTTCCTTTGAAATTTCCATTTCTACAATATATTTTTAATTTCTGAGAGTAAGTTCGGTCTTACTTTCTAAATGAGCTTCTTACTTTTTTGTTGTGGGTATAAATGTGTGGTATTTCTTAACTGTTTCTTTTTACAAGATTAAAGTGTGTACTAAACACTCTGTTTGCACAGAGGCTTTTTGGCTGGAGCACAGATGGCCTCTAGTTCGGAGACTACGAAGATCAGGATCTGCAGAGCTTTTCCTCTTACCCAAGTGTGAATCCTCTCCTCTCTGTCTGGGCTTGCACAGGGCAGGGGAATAGCATCGGGAGCTCCCTGAGCTGTATCTGGAGTCCCCCAGCCCAACCTGTGTCTGGTGCAGGTTTTCTGGAGAGTCAACCTCCCATCTTCTCCTGAAGTACAGGACGGTCTGTGCTCTGGTTATGTGGCCTAGGGAGTTAAGGATATGTTTGTGTAAACCTTTCACTGGCCTTGATTTCAGCCTGCTCTTTCAGTTCTTGATATGTTCAGGATTCTGTGGCATGAATTGACTTGCTTCTTAATGGCTTTTCCCCCCTGCAGGGACTTAAGGCTCCAGCTCTTCTTTCTCGGTGACAATTTGGACAAGTTTTTTTCATTGGCTTCAATGTCTGGTGTTCTCTCTTCTGTTTGTCCTCGTCTATTTGCATATTTTATTCCATGAACCATTTTGCAAGGGTTCTGGAAGGGAGTGGATAGAAACACACTTGTTTGATTTCCAGTGTGTAACTGAACCTCTATCTTAATTAGCTTTAAAGAATTATTTAACAGAGAGGCCCTGGCTGGTGTGGCTCAATGGATTGAGCACTGGCCTGTGAACCCAAGGGTCGCCAGTTCAATTCCCAGCCAGGGCACATGCCTGGGTTGCGGGCCAGGTCCTCAGTAAGGGGCACGCAAGAGACAACCACATGTTGATGTTTCTCTCCCTCTCTTTCTCCCTCCTTTCCCCTCTGTCTAAAATAAATAAATAAAATCTTTTAAAAAAAAGAATTATTTAACAAAAAGAGTTGAGACTTTCATATAATTAAGCAAAACTGGAGATTATTATGTAGACATCAGAATCAAAAGAGAAAATGTCAGAAATAGAGAAGTTAGAATTCATAGGTCTCATAAGGTGATACCTAGAAAAATAGATTACTTGTTTTTTGAGTGCTAAAGTTTTGAACCAAATCAATTCTATCTTTATCAAAACAGTGTTGCCATACTTCTTCAGACTGCTCTAAAAATTGCCAAGTTTCTGGAAATACATGTATTGTGGACATACCAGTTCTAGTTTATTATTGTATATATGTTGAACATATTTCTAAAACTTATTTTTACCGTACTTTTTTCTTTCTATGAAAGCAATACAATTTCATTGTAGAAAGTACTGGTAAGAAATAGAAGACAATATACCGTGCCCCAGCTGTTAAGCGGAAATGACGTCTCCTGTCTGGTTCTATGTTTATACTAGGTTGTAGTTGGTGCCCTTCGTCTCATGGTTGTGTTCACATTCTCTTCCAGGATACTGGGGTTGGGAAGTCAAGCATTGTGTGTCGATTTGTCCAGGATCACTTTGACCACAACATCAGCCCGACCATTGGGTAAGTTTCCATGTGTTCTTTTCTTTCACATTTTTTCATTTCAAAGCACTCAGAGAGGTCACTTTATGCTTGAGAGTTCAAGTTGTTTCATCCTAGACTGTGAGAATTAATCCCAATGGTAAAGACTTGGACAGAAATTCAATCACTTTTCAGTTGTATGTCTGAGCTTCCTGTCCTTGTCAATGATTTTTCCTAGCCAACTATCGTTATGCTGCAGCCTAAGGTCATTTCCTTGATCTCAAAGAGCATTATTCTGAAAATCATGCCAGTTTTCTTTCCAGATGGAAGATGAGACACAAGACAAACCCCTAAAGGCTCTGCTATAACTTACCTGCCAGCAACCCTGGAAATGCTGTCCACTCACATGGCAGAGCTGTCTGCTCAGTCTGTGGGAGAGATTGATTTTCCTTTTCTAAATTAATTTAATGTCAGCATTTCCATTCTAATGCTTGGGGACGGAGAGGGTAGATTGTTCACTTCGGGGACCCTGACCTTGGAATGTAGACACATTTTTTTATTCCATTTTCCTCTTTTCTATGGATTCTTTTGCCAGGTGTGCCTTTGCTGTGTGTTTTCCAGATGCTTGATTTTTCACTCTGTTAGAGCTTGGCCTCACTTATTTTCCTCCCTGAAGATAGCATGATCCTTGCAGAGAGTAAGGTTTCATATTCCTCAGCAGGGGAACAATGCATGTATATATTTTAGGACTTCTGTAGAATTGGTGACAGGGCAGTTGTCACTATTGGCTGTAAGTGGAGAAAATTCATGACAGAGCATAAGCAGATGCTCAAGAGCACTTGTTTGATAGGCCAGTGGTTGGAGTGGTGGAGGTGAGAGAAACCAACACATTTTATGGTTAAAAGTAGTTTAAAGAAACATGTTCACAAAAATACGTGTCAGGAACTGAAGTGTCTGCAGGCCAACAAGTTAACTTTCCCACTGTCATGGGTACTGGCAGAAGACACAGAACTCTTCTGTCAGAGACAAGGGAAAGAGCAGTAGCCAGAGTAGTATTTTGCACTGGTTCCCTAAGCACAGTTTTCCATAGAGTGATGTGAAGAGGGTCAAGTGGTACCTCACATGCAGTAGCTTGCGTTACAGGAGAGAAACTCTGAGTTAAGGAACCCAAATCTTTTATAACAGACAGTAAGCATGTCTGTGCATTGCTCCAAAGTAAGACCTTATCTCTCCCTTCCAAGACTACTTCCTGTAGAGACATACTTGAAAACACAGTCTAGGAAAAAGACAGTGTCTCTGCTTTCAAGAGACCCATGGAAAAATGTCTTCCAACGTAGGCTCTTCTGTAGATTGGGGACAGTTTTATTGAGGAAACTCTTTTCACTCTTCTCTGATATACTTTTTTTCTCCTTAATTTGCCACTTTGTGTTTATTGATAGTAAAAATAAAACCTGTAAGAGTGATTAACTCTGAAGTGTGTTTCTAGAAGACAGGCTTTCATTGTCCACTTTTTAAACTTAAGTTTTTAAAGAATAATAAACCTCAACTCCTTTTGTAATGATTTTTTAAATAAAAAAGCAATGCATACTCCTACCACAAATATGGTAAATATATAAAAGTGTTAAACATAACTGTTATGTATAGGTATAAATATACATTTAGTATATATTCTTCCTGTCTTTTTCCAGTGTATATGTTAAATATTTTTTCATTCACCATTATATTGTGAATTCTAGGCCATTAAGTGTTTTTTAAAAACAATGATTTTTTAATGGCCCTATTTTCCATTTAAGGCATCTAGGTAGTCTAAAATATTTAAAAATATTATAAATACTGTTATGATATATATCCTTGGGCATAAATACTTGCATGTACCTCTTTTTATTTCATTGGGTTAAATTTGTAGCAATGGAGTAATTTAGTCAAAGAATAAGAACATATTTGAAGTTTTTAATAGATATTGCCAGATTGTTTTTTCAGAAAGATTGTCCTTATTTTTTCTATATACTCACCAGTTTTAGGTATGATTTAGAAAATTTTTGTATACATGATTTTAAATTTTTCATTGTAAACTTAAACATTTCTCACATCTGAAAATTTCTTCATAAACACAATTTTAAATGATTGTAACATTAAATTATGTGCCATTCTGCTTTATACCTACATCATACCTCATTTTTTTTTGAGTCAAGATGAAGCTCAACTCCACCATTCTTATCTGTTGTCTTTTCCTGATATAGTTTATTTTCCCAATTTTAAAATTGCTCAAAAATTTTCCTCTCTTTTGAGATTTCAAGAAAATGTTTCCAATCCACAGTTTCAGAAAAATAAGCTAGGAACAAACATATTTCTTGGAAGATGGCATAAATGGAATTCTTTAAAAAAAAGATTGTGTGCTTATTAAACCTCACCTGGTAGATGTGGTGGGCTGGCAATCTGGCTTATATTATGTTTTGTTTAGTCTGCTTCAGAAATTTTAAGCCAATAATGAAGAATCAGGAGATTTTTACATAATAAACTTGCATTTCTGGCTTCTCTTATAAAGTCAGTAGGCTTAGAACATAACGCTTACAAGGCAGAAGCCAGGTGGACCTGAGCCATAGGCACTTCCTGTGGTTGGACAAGTCCTCTCTGTTCCGTGCCTTCCCTACTGTTATTATTACTAGTATTACTACTACTATTCTTTTTATCAGTATTACTTTTACACCCAGTCCACTTTGCTCATTTATTTACCTGTCTTATTTGGTCCTATTGATATTTCAGTTCATTTCCCTGGTGCAAGAGCTTTTCCTCAGTAACCCTGCTGGCCCCCAGGGCCAGAGCAGCTAGATGATTTGTTAGGTGAGCAGCAAACTTGTGACTCAAACCAAATGAGTCCATTTTTAAAGTCCACTCTTGTTCTTCCCACTGAGATCACCTTATCATTGGGAAAAGGCCACACAGGCTGTAAAATGTCATTGTCTTAGCATTGAAGAGTTAATTCTTATCTTCTCCTGTGACTCACCCTGAAAAATCTTGGCTCTGCTATTCAAGCAGATTGTGTTGACATCTTGATCATATATATGTGTGTGTATCTCCTTTTCTATTTTAACTTTCACAAGGAAATTGGGTCACTTCTCTGCCAGATTTTGGTTCCCACCAATAATGAAGTCAGTTCAGCATTGCCGATGCTCCTACTCTACCACTGTGGAAGGAAATCTATAGAGAAGAAAAGACTTGGGCTTCTTAAAATTGAAAGCTAGCAAAGAGGCTGAAAAAACCCCTAAACAACCAAAAGATTAATGGTCAATCTTCATTCCAAATATTGATAGCCTTTTTCCTAGTGGCAAGAAATCTGGAATAGAGAAGGGTACGTACATGTGCGTGTGTGTATATATGCATGCATGTATTTATATGTGTATATATGTACAAGTATAAATGATACGCATTATCACTGTTACTACAGCTTTCCTCACAAGCTTACTGTTATCAAAGGGAAATTTCACAGATGTCATTTCCTCATTTGATTCTACAACAGCCTTCTAGGTCATGTAGAGTAGATACTGGATGTATTTCACAGATGAGAAAACTGAGGGACTTTCTAAGTGCTCATTCCACTCAGACTGGCAGTGAGGGACTCTGTGTTCTTTCCTGACTTTGCCTTTAGATTCTTCTTTGACCAGAGTCAATATAGTAATTTGGGTCTCAGAGGCCCCCACTGCCCTATATCTGTAGGAAGTGGTTGGCCTGGATATTTCATGTTTTTTCCAGCTCTGAAAGTCTATGATTCTAATATTTTAAAGACATGGACTTGGTTTTCTGAGAACTTTTTTAAAAAAGTCTGAGAACTCTTAAAGGGTAGGATTGATATAATTTATTCTATTGCCTAGAATAGGGGTCCCCAACACTTGGGCTGTGGACTGGTACTGGTCCTTGGCCTGTTAAGAATTGGGCTGCACAGCAGGACGTGAGCCGCTGGCTATCAAGCCAGCCAAGCTTTGCTTGCGTTACACCCTGAGCTCCACTGCTCTCATTCCCCCTACTACCCTGTCTGTGGAAAAATTGTCTTCTACAAAACTGGTTCCTGGTGCCCAAGAGGTTGGGGACCCTTGGCCTAGAACATATTGAGGAATGAATGAAAATTTGCCTTAAATCAAAGTAAAAAGAAGAATAAAAATAAAATATTGATATTCAACTGTCAATATAAATGTTTAATAGGCATTTATGGAAAAAATACCATAGGCAAAGTTAAAGGGCAAAGATTAAACTTCAAATGTATATATATTTTTAAATTGAATTTATGTGGGGGACATTGGTTAATAAAATTATGTAGGTTTCAAGGATACAGTTCTACAATACATCATTTGTATATTAGATTGTGTGTTCACCACCCCAAATCAAATTTCCTTTTATCACCACTTATCCCCCTTTAACCCTCTCCTGACTCCCCCGACCTTCCCCTCTGGTAATCACCATACTGTTGTGTGTCTATGCTTTTTGTTTTTGTTTTTATTTTTTGCTTAATCTCTTCACCTTTTTCACCCTACCCCCCCATCCCCCTCTTCTGACACCTTGTCAGTATGTTCTCTGTATTTATGAGTCTGTTTCTGTTTGGTTTGTTAGTTTATTTTGTTCATTAGATTCCACATATGAGTGAAATCATATGGTATTTTTCTTCCTCTGACTGGCTTATTTCACTTAGCATAATGCTTTCCGGGTCCATCCATGGTTTTACAAAAGGTAAGATTTCCTTTTTTTACAGCCAGGTAGTATTCCATTGTGTAAATGTACCACAGATTTTTATCCATTCACAGATGGGCACTTGGGCTGCTTCCAAATCTTGGCTATTGCAAATAACACTGCAGTGAACATAAGCATGCATATATTCTTTCAAATTATGTTTTGGGTTTCTTTGGATATATTGCCAAAAGTGAGATCACTGGGACATAAAGTAGTTTCATTTTAATTTTTTGAGGTATCTCCATACTACTTTCCACAGTGGCTGCACCAGTTTGCATTCCCAACAATAGTGCATAAGAGTTCCCTTTACTCCACATCCTTGC